AAGCATGAAGGAGGAACTGAAGGAAATCCTTATTATTCAGGAAATGGTATTGGAGAAATTGATGGGACTAAATCCCGATAAGTCCCTGGGGCCTAATGCTCTGCATCCCAGAGTACTTAAGGAAGTGGTCCTGGAAATACCAGATGCGTTGGTGATCATTTTCCAGCATTCTGTAGACTCTGGAAGAGTTCCAATTGACTGGAGGGTAGCTAATGAGGGAGTGAGAAAACAGGGAATTATAGACCAGTTCGCCTGACATCCATAATCATGAAGTGCTTCGAGAGGCTGGTCATGGCCCACATAAACTCCAGTCTCCCAACCTGCCTCGATCCCCTACAATTTGCCTACCAACATAACAGGTCCACAGAGGATGCCATATCCCTAGCCCTGCACTCATCCCTGGAACATCTGGACAACAAAGACACCCACATCAGACTCCTGCTCATCGACCACAGCTCCGCCTTCAACACCATAATCCCCTTCAGACTGATCTCAAAATTCTGAGACCTTGGTCTTGGCTCCACCCTCTGCAAGTGGATCCTCAGCTTCCTGACCCATAGACCGCAATCAGTAACTGTACCTCCTCCACAATAACACTCAACACTGGAACCCCCCAAGGATGCGTTATCTGCCCCCTACAGTACGCCCTGTACACCTATGGCTGTGTTACCAAATTCTGAATGAATACCATCTACAAGTTTGCTGAGGACACCACTGAAGTGGGACGGATATCTAACAATGACAAGTCAAAATACAGGAAGGAGATAGAGGGCTTGGTGATGAGGTGCAATAAAAACAGCCTTTCTCTCAATGTTAGAAAAACTAAAGAACTGATCATTGACTTCAGAAAGAAAGGAGGAGAACACACCCCCATCTACATCAACGGAACTGAGGTTGAGAGGGTTGACAGTGTCAATTTCCTCCGAGTGATGATAACCGACGACCTGTCCTAGTCTTCCCAAGTAGATGCAACGCTCAACAAGGCACAACAACACCTCTACTTCCTCAGGCAACTTCGGAAATTTGGTATGTCCATAAAATCCCTCAGCAACTTTTATAGATATATCATTGAACGCGTACAGTACAGGTGCATAATGGCCTCATACAGCAACTGCTCTGCCCAGGACCATAAGAAATTACAGAAGGTGGTGAGCACAGTCCAGACCATCATGAAAGACAACCTGCCATCCATGGACTCCATTTACACTTCTTGTTGCTGTGGAAAGGCTGCCAACTTCATCAAAGACCCTTCCGTTCCTGGCAATTTTTGGCAAGATGGCAGCAGGGTAAGTCGCTCCGCTGGGAATTCCATTCTGCTCGCCAGTTCTTCCTTTTTCTCCCTTCTTCTCTCTCCCCCTGTAATAATTCTATCCCCTCCACCCTTTTTCACTACCTACCTGAGGAGTCGGGAAGGAGCTGGGTTGCAACCAGGAACATGTCAGGAGCTGAGTCGCGACCAGGAACCACATGTCAGGAGCTGAATGCGCAGGTTGTGTCCTGCAGCGACGGCGCATTGAGCGTGGGCCAGAGCGATGTCAGCGGTGAATCAAGAGTGGACTGGCGAGAGCGGGCCGGTGAGGCAGCTGAGAGCAGGACGCTGGCAGAGGCATGGCGAGGGCTGGTAAGCCTGGAGCGGGACTCTAGCAGAGGCATGGCAAGGGCTGGAAAGCCTGGAGCGGGACTCTAGCAGAGGCATGGCGAGGG